CCCCTGGTAAAGCACTTGAAGTATCCGACCCTAATTGGTCCAACGGAATACTCCACCATAGATCTTAGACCCTTTCTTGAAGGAGACCAACTGTGGAACGTCTAATAGGTTGGACGATGATGGTGAATGACCTGGTCGGGCATGATTCTTTAGTCTGGTAGATAGAATTAGGTACCTAGCTTGATGCCAGATTGTTGGTGGGACCAAATCACATATAAAATGATTATCACTATTTACAAGTTTCTTACCATGGTATGAGTTTAACTGTACCCGTAGCAGAACGGAGTTACCATCCTGGTCTGTCACGCACACGGCCCGGGTTCGTTTCCCGGATCGGGAGAAATATTTTCAGTATGGCCTGCATTTGTTTCTCACGTAATGTAATGTACTGTAACGTAATGTGTGTTATTTATTGATTTATTTTATTTTCCCGATATTTCGGAAAGGTTGTACGTCCCATCCATCCATTGAAGATGGATTTAAACTATCCAGTATGTGGAATCCGGTGCTTACAATGGTGGTGGTTTGTCTGGAAAAAAGTGGGTGACAATGGCAATGCTAGCGAAAAAGGAACAGGCAGGTTCTTAAAGACGTCACCTGTCGCTGGCCAGTCTCTTAATATCAGGGGATATGAACAGAGCTCGTACCTGATAAGAAACCTGTAGTTATTGATAATCATTTAGTGAATAACGTCGAAAGCCTTAAAATCTATATCACGTATAAAACGTTCAAAATATTTATTCCAGTTTACGTGTGGATCCTCTCCAGAATTCCGCTTATTACCGTTTATAACAAGGAATTAGCTGTAAGGCCACTCACTCAAATAGGCGTTGTTATCACAAAGCTTGCTTTCGATGACTGGACGAAATGTGAGCCACGCAGGTATGATACTGTGGCCGTGGAACCAGTGACTTTCAGAATGCCTGTAAAAACACATAGACGGTTCAGTGATGAACAAAACTTTGAATCAAGTGAAGACCGTCAGTAGATTGCTCTACGTATGCATATATCAAACCCGTAATAAAAAAATGACGAAGTACAACTAGTAATTTTTGGGAAAATGACAACATTGATATAAAAAAAAATGGTGCCAGCTATGTATGCCAGATGGGTGATTTCAAAATTGTGTAAGATATTATTCCCAAAAATATTACTTTTGGTATTTCGTAATTCCGTTATTGGGAGTGCGATATGTGTGTACGTAAGGTGAAAGTTTATTTTAGTTATATAACGGATTGGCCAAAAAGTCAGTGCGGTTTTTGCCACTAGCTAACTTTAAACAAAAAATTACTTTCTTCTTTTAAACGTTATGTCGTTTATGATCGCTTTGAAAATAATATTTCAGTAGGCATTTTAAAAACGTGTTGTATTTTATCATAATAATGCTAAATTGCACACATTGCAAATATCGCGGATCAACATGGCCAATACATAATTGACTAAAGTTTATATATTTATTTTTTAAATTTTTTTATTTAACACTTTTTGGCTAAATCATTATATCGCTAATTATTAAACTAAGTACTTATTTTATTCACAGTGATTACTGAAATGAAATTATATGTAAAATAAGACTATATCGCTTAGGTCATTTTTATGTTTTTCTAAATTTTGATAAGTAACTCGAGAACCGCGAAAGGTTAAAAATATGCGAACCAACCTTAGTCAGCTTACAGGACGCAGGCGAAAGCTCGATAAGAAATTCCACATCGCCTCATTGAAATCTTTGGTGATTAGACTTGACGGTAGTACCGCCAGGAATTGTGTATAGCTATGCAAAGGATTAAACATTGGCAGCTATCTGGAAATGTTGCCCCAGGGCGCGACCCTCGATTAAAGTTACTTTACTAACTTTAGATGAATTCTGTTTACATCTACATAAAGCGTATTTAGTGTTTGTTTTATTCTCTTACTATTAAATAATAAGGATCGCCTCGAACGCCTTCACACTTTTACCGAGATGTTAGATTTATTATTTTCGTATTTGTTTCTTGGTATAACTGTAAATTCGAAATAGTAGCTAAATTTTCAGGACAACGTATTTCCGATTTAGCGTTTCACATCTTGGATCTCAATTCGTCAATTAGCGTCTTAAAAATACCTTTTTGAATTTAATACATAGATTTCGTATAAACGCAACTGCCGGTGGATTACTGGTAGAAAAAGTTAGCTGTCTTCGAAAGCATTTAGTACAAAAATCTGTCAACAGATGGCGTAACTAGCAAAATATTTTGATTTACCCTTTTACATCTGGAACTGCAAGCTCGTATCAATCTCGTTCTATCAATTAGTTATGTTCGTTTATTAGATCTGAGTGAGTACGTACCTACGACTTTTAGTGACGGCAGTAACGATATCTTATCTAGAATGACGATATCTATTAAAAATGCCAACACATTAAGTACAAACAAGGGCTCCCACTCCCAGTGACAGAGGTATAGTAAGAGCGAGCGTAGGAAAAAGGAGGACCACAATTTCTATTTGGCGTGACATAGGTGAGGTAAATCTCGCAACCGGATTCATGAACTAAATAGGTTATATTTTGTTATAAATGATGGACACCACAACACACACACTTATCACTACATGTATCAACATCCTATTTAAAAGTCATACTACTATCTTCATCATCAGCTTACACGCATCCACTGCTGAACATAAGCCTCCCCAAGAGCACGCCAACTCTCCCGGTCTTGTGCCATTTAAGATTTTTATGTAAGAATAGACACCACAAGAACACAACGTAATACATAACATAAATCGATACCTTCCACGTAAGTTGTTGCAAGTTAAAATACTGTTTTTTTTTTTTTTTTTTTATTAAAAATGGACGAACTTTTGACCACTACCTAGCCCTAGAGCAAAGATGAGGTCTACGTTGGTACGAGCTCGCCCAGAAGATGCCTATTCAATCGCACCTTGAAAATATTCGGGTTGTATGTACTCGGAAAAATAGACGCAGGCAGGGAATTCCAGTCACGGGCTGTGCGCATTATAAAAGATGACGAAAAGCGCTTAGTACGACTTAAAGGAATATCAACCAGGTGAGGGTGATATCCCGCCGTTCGTCTAGATGTCCGATGGTAAAAGGGGGCGGATGGAATGAGCTGGTGGAGCTCATGGGCACAGTCTCCGAAGTATAATCTGTAAAAAACCGACAGACCCGCGACCTTTCGCCGATGGGCTAAACTATGAAGTTTATATTCGAGCTCATCGTCGCCAATAAGCCTCCTGGCTCTGCGATCAATCGAGTCAAAAGCCTCTAGTTGGTATTTCGCTGAGCCATCCCACAGGTGACTGCAATACTCCATGCAAGACCGGACCTGCGCTTTATATAAGGTTAAAAGCTGTCCAGGCGAGAAGTATCGCTTCACCTTGTTAAGGATACCCAGCTTCTTGGCTGCAGTTTGTGCTTTAGACTCTATAGAAGCGCCAAAGTTGAGGTTTGCGCTTAATGTCATGCCAAGAAGCTCTAGGCGGTCGGTAACTGGGACAGATACACCCCGAAAAGTAGGAGTCAGATCAAATGGACTCCTTTTTGCGGAAAAAAGACAGGCCTGCGTTTTGGTGGCGTTGAAGCTGACCAGATTGTTGTCACCCCACTGGGCAACAAGACTTAAGGTCAGGTTCGTTCGCTCTACCATAGCCTCTCTCAGCGAACGAATATCTTCCCTGCCGTCTCTTGCGCTAGACAGATATCTCTCGGTAACTGTACTGTCATCTGCATACCCAACTATACCCGGGACCAATAGGTCATTGATGTGTAGCAGGAAAAGAGTCGCCGAGAGAACAGACCCTTGAGGAACTCCAGCATCAATAGCCATCAAGTCAGATGAGCAGCCTTCAATGACTACTCGAATCGACCGTTCCCCAAGGAAATCTGATATCCAGCTGCAAAAGTCGGCAGGGATGCCGTAAGCAGGAAGCTTGCTCAGCAAACTTGCATGCCAAACCCTGTCGAAGGCCTTTGAGATATCGAGCGATACGACCAGTGCCTCACCGTGTTTCTCGATGGCCTCGCCCCAGCAATGCGTAACATACACGAGAAGATCCCCAGTTGATCGTCCCCGGCGGAAGCCATATTGACGATCACTGAGTAGGTCATTTATTTCAAGGTATGATAGCAGCTTACCGTTCAGAACTCTTTCCATAACCTTGCAGAGTATGGAAGTTATGGCGATTGGTCTGTAATTACAGGGGTCGGCGCGGCTTCCCTTTTTAGGGACTGGTTGCACATTTGCAAACTTCCATGATTTAGGATATTAGAATAGTATTCTCGTTTTTAGTGAGAGGCGGTACAGACACGTCAGTACAGGAGTTAGCTCAGGCGCGCAAAGCCTCAGTACCCGTGCTGGTATACCATCAGGACCACTGGCCTTATTCACATCTAGACTTCGCAGAGCTCTACGAACCTCTTTTGCGTGGATTGTGACCTCCGGCATTGAAGTGTCACAACGAGGTAAATTTGGTGGATGTTTTGAGCCTGCATCTAGATGCGAATTGCTTGCAAACATTACAGCAAATAAGTTTGCTTTATCCGTTGCAGAGTGAGCCAGTGATCCGTCAGGTTTCTGCATGGGAGGCAAGGTGGGACGGCAGAAGTTGGATTCAACTGCTTTGGACAGGGACCAGAACTGCTTGCTACCAGGAGGGTAGGATGCAAGCCTGGTCCCGATCCTGCTGATATGGTTGAATCTAGCCTTCCGGAATTCGCGTTTGCAGGACTTGGCGGCAGAATTAAAAGCTCTCTTTCTCGCGCGAACCCTCCGGGCTCGAACTTTGCGGTCGCGAGCTTGCACCCATGCTTGGTAAGCAGACTGCTTACGGGCCTCAGCACGTGCGCAGTCCACGTTATACCAAGGTCGGGCTTTGTGACCCAGTGGAATGTCGGAGAATGGAATAAAGTACTCCATTCCCTGCCGGATCACATCTGCAACCGCATCAGCAGAACACGAGGGATCACCCGAGGAAAAGCAGACTTGCCGCCAAGGATAAGACGCAAAGAAGTGCTGCATCTCATCCCAATCTGCTGACTCGTATCGCCATACTCTTCTTGTACCTCTTGGACAGTCATCAGGAGGAGAGTAAGTCGACACGGATTTCACCACACAGTGGTCGGATGTTCCCAGCGGTGCCGAGATCGAAACCGAGTGACCGTGTGGATCTGTTGTCAACAGAAGGTCCAAACAATTGGCTGCATGTCCGTCAACATCCGGTACCCGCGTTGCTTGGCTTACCAGCTGGGTGAGATTTAGCGATAATGCAAATTTGCGCGCCTCCCTCCCAGCATGGTCTGTTTTTACGTACGGAAACAGCCACTCACTGTGGTGAGCATTAAAGTCCCCGAGAAAAATAAGCTCTGCTGAAGGGTACCGTTGTTGGGCTTTATCTGCCATCTCAGTTAGGTGGACGAAGAGCTTAGTTGTCTCCTGGTCACCACTGTGCGATCTGTAGACACAGATATAGAGATATTTCTCCATTCCTGTGTCCACCAGAATCCAAACATGTGAAAACCCGTTACTTTCAAAGCAACGGAGACGCCGATAGCAAATGTCGTCACGTACGTATACGCAAACCCCAGCTCGCTGCAGAAATTTATGCTCAAGCGAGTATCCTGGGTAGTTGAGGTACGCAACGTCAGACGGTGTTACTATTTGCGTCTCCGTTAAGAAGAATAGGTGCGGCTTCTCAGTCTCTAGGTGGTAGTGGACCGGATCAAGGTTAGAGTGCAGGCCTCGGATGTTAGTGAGGTGCACCTTCATTGGGAGGAAGTGCAGCCGTTGTTTAAACTTACTCTTCTTATGACTTTTTATTTTCATGGTGGTTGGTGGTGTTGGTGGGGAAAAATTTGATGTTCCAGGCGCCACTCAGTTGACCAATAGGATCTCTTAAGATAGCTGCCCATTGGGGAACTCACATGGAGACTGCGGGGACGCCCGAGCGCCCCCGAAATGGCCACCGGGTCCTCCCATCCAGTCGCCAACTGGCACGGTGGAGCATTTCGGGATTTTTCGCGAGGTGGCGGGTGGCTTCTTAACTTAAACATATTATTCTATTACCCTTTTTTATATATATTATAGGTTCCATGTTTACAAAGAAACATGACAATATGTGATGTCCTTACTTTTAAATATGAAACCTAAACCTATTTAAATTAAAATGAAAAAAATGGTATTTTGACTTACAACAACTTACGTGCCAGGTATCGAAATATTTACGTAGTTTATTTCGGATTATGTACACCACACGTATGTCCGGTATTCATTGGGGTTCGGGTTCAACTTAAAATGAGCGTCATTAGTGGCATTAGCTGAGTGGATAGTTTTGAATACACTACAGTCGTTACTACAATTTTAAATCTCTTTTTTCTATTTTTTGGTTTTTGTTTTACTGTTTTTTTTATTCTTTCCTTCTATATAATTTCGTGTTTTGGTGCTACAGTAAATGTTTTCTGTTCTATTCTATTGATAGCCTCCGTCAGGATGTGTGTAGGTACCAGAAAAGGTCAAGTCGAAAGTAATAAGAATAAAGGGGCGTGTATGTACTAATATCTTTGAAAGAAGCAAAAGATTAGAGTATAATAAGAGTAGTGAATAGAGTCTGCATACACGACGTCCACCAGGGACCAAATTTTTCAGGAAACAATTGTGGTGGGACCACAGTGGTATAGAGAGTCGCACATAACTGAAATGAAGGAAACCATTGTGATGAAACCTGCAAGTCGAAGAGTGTTTATATCCTTTGGAATACATGTGAAGTGACCAACCTGCATTGGGCCAATGCGGCAACATAGTAATCTGTTGATCCTAAACCTTTTTCTTAGAGGAAACCAACAGGTCGATGGCGATGATAATGAATTACCTGGTCGGGCATGATTCATTACTCTGGTGGATGGATTGACCTATCAAATTAAATTGTTGGTAGAACCGAATCACATATAAAATAAATATCACGTACAAAACTTTAAAAAAACAAAAATTTGCAACAAAAAAAATTTTTCTCTGTGTTCGATTCGATTGTTGTATTAATAATTTTAACAAACTAATGGACTGGTTTCACAAAAAAATAATTGACTGTCATGAAATTAAAACATCGTGATATTCAATTAATTTAATATGTGTAATAGTTGAACTGTTTATTCCAGTTTACGTGTGGATCCTCTCGAAAATCCCCAATATCTCCGACGGTCACAGGGACTTAGCTGTAAGACCACTCAATCAAATAGGCGTTGCTTCCACAAGGCTTCTGAAAGACGACTGGACGATCTGCGTGCCACGTAGTTATAGTGCTGCTGCCGTAGAACCAGTGACTTTCAGGTTACCTGTGCGAACACATGTTCGGCTCAGTGACTATGAAACATATAAGTCAGGAAAAATCAAATACTAGACTTCTTCTCTACGTATATAAATATCACATCCTCAATAACAAAGTGAAATCTAACTTTTGGGAGAGAATAGGATAGCTTTTGAAAAAATAACGTACAACGCGGCATACAATGCTATTTGTGTGATGCTGATTCGCCAAAATAATCATTAGTCAGTTTTGTTTCGTATGTTATCTTTCCAAAACAATTTTGCATTTCGTATTACGTAATTTTGTTATTGGGAATGCAAAATGTCTATTAAGGAAAAAAATATTTTAGAATGGGTTGGCCACAAAGTCCGTGCGGTTTTTGCCACTGGCTAAACTTTAGACAGAAAAATAACATATTTTTAAAATGTTATGTCATCTTTTAACGCGACTATTTCATTTTTATAAGGCCGTCAATTTCATTCGTCGTATTCACCCGACATTCGACTCGACTTTGATAAGGAAAAGTACATCAAAGGACACAGAGCTGTATTAAATACATACAGACAAATACAATATTTCTTTAAAAAAGAATTCTAAAATTATCTCAAAGATGGCAAAACATTGCAAATTAACATGGCTAATATATAATTTCGTTTAAAGTTTATATATTTTTTTGTATTTGACTTTTATACTGCACGGATTTTCTGACCGACCCAATGTATAGCCAAATAATGAACAAATTGAAAAAAAAATATTTTAATCTTTTTGAAAGAAACATAAGTGAAGAAACAATAAATTAAATTTAATGTAATACGATACATGTAACTGATCACAATGATTAAATCAAACATTAATAAATAAATAAAAAAACATTTCAAATAAAGTTTATTAGATTGTAGCAAGATCAACTTCGAGCCATTGACAAAACCTGCATTAATAAAAATATAATAATGTTAATTAAAAAAATAATAAAATATTTACTAAAATAAACCGGAAATCTATGCTAACTTAATTAAATTAATTTATTTTCATTTTTATTAGCATGGATTTCCACAAAGCAATGCCTGTTAACTATTTAAATCTGTATTAGTTTAATTACTTACTACAAATTAAAACAATTGAATGAAAACAATGACAATCGACAATTTTTTTCTTTTCAACTTAGACTTAAAATAAAATTAGTACCTATAGTAACCTACTAGATTATTGATTAAAAAATTGCATTCTTTCCAGGGTTTTAAGTGTTCTAAAAGTATGTGTGGAATAAAAGTATATACAATGCACGACGTTTGCACAATAATAAAACTGCGCGGTAAATATTGTAAAGTACACAAGTTACATAACAAAACAAACCACAATAAAACGTAAATCAATAAGTGTAAGCTCGCGTGTTTGACACACATAAAGATAACCACACACTACATCGTTATGTACGAATATATATGACGAATGGTATATAATATTGTACTTCTATTTTCATTTGGAGAATATAATCAATTTTGTATAGGTAACTATAGCAATGCCAACGCTTTGTTGGTACATACAACTCGACATCGGTGACGACGCATTGTATAACAGTGTATAACTCAATGTATGTATAACTTACAACTCATTGCTGTATATAACCTTCTTCGAGACTAACTATGCTGCCTGCATAGTTTACCTGATGCGGATTGGGCACGTCACACGTTTTCCAAGATTTATGATTTCATTCACCGTTAGCGGGAGGTTATACTACGAAATATCCACAAATGCACTACCTTAAAAATTAAATAATAAGTATATGCCTTGGACCTATTAGTTTAGAAGCAACCGTTCTCCCACTGAGCTACCACTACCTGACAACCGTTCTCTCGCTGAGCTACCATCGCTATAACATCCATCCTGCCACTGGGAATCTTGTACAATCCATTCATACTATCCATGATGGGCTTTTGGGTGCCCAGGACCAGCCTGGTGCGGCCTCTTACAAGAAAGCTATTTGCTATACCTTCTACACGTTCTAGGGCAAGTGATCTGGCTCCTTTGCCCCGCTTAAGTACTTCAATCGAATGCTTATCTTTGACTCCTCTTTGGACCTCTTTGCATGCTCGGAAGCCCATTTTACGTTTTCCGCGGGACGATATCTCGAGTCATTGACCATGGACAGTAGCATTATATAAGTATTTTGCATCCTGAATAATTAATACTATGTTAATGTTTTAAAATTTGATTGTTAATAATGTAATGTCCAATTCCATGATTTGTTATTTTTATCTAATTTTTTATTCAGTTTATTTTATGCAATATATAAAATTCAATGATTTTTAAATTTTGTATCAATTCTTTATTAAGTATGATTACATTATTATTGCAATATATGATATTAGCTTAAGAATTACTATTGTGTTTGGATATTAATCTGTAAGCAATATGTAATTAAATAAATACATAACTGGGCTACGCAGCATATCGGAGGAATATTCTTTTGTGTTCGATCTTTGTATTTCAAAGTCAAAGCCAAAGAATCATTTATTCCATAGGTAAAATATATTTACGCATGAAAACGTCACTTTTAAGCTCCTACTTGTTGTTTAAGCTACGCTGCCTTGCCAGAGAAGAATGAGCAAGAAACTCTAGGGAATTGCTCTTTTTAAATAAACTTAAATGCTACGGAATACACTTTGAATCAAATTTGTGTATCTTTTCTCACATCTAACACGTAGTCTTTAATTTTCAATTAGAATATTTTTAATGTAGTTTTTGAAGTTAGGAAATTATAATCCTATTATGTACTCCGGAATCTTATTGTAAGAATGCATACAGTTTCCCATAAAAGAGTCGTTTCGTCGAGTCGTCACCAATAAACGAAATCATGATACCATGAGTTTGGATGGACTTAGCTCTAAAGTTAATATTATGGATACCTTCTTTCTTATTGAAATTTTTTTTTGCGGGCGTAAATAAATGTACTCTGAAACCAGAGAACCTGAACGGTACACAGTATGAATCGCTCGTTTTTGCAATACAAATGTGGTTTGAATGTCTGCCGCTTTACCCCACATGACAATCCCGTAGGACGCTATACTGTGGAAATAACTAAAGTAAACTAGTCTAGGTAGTACTAACATCGGTAAGCTCACATATTCTGCGGACTACGTATGCAGCTGTGCTTAATCTGCTGACCAGGGAAGATATAATATGTGGGAACCATTGAAGTTTACTATTTAAGGTCACTCTTAAGAAGACTGCTTTATTAACAAGATCTAACTTTTCTCCTTTTATTTCTATGCTTGGACTAGTTGATTTTTTTGTGATCTGTTTTGAACCCGTGTCTGTCGGAGTATATACCTCTAAAATAAAGATGCGAGTCAGGCCAACTTTCAACCTCATCCATAGGAGTCTAGGGCTTACACACTCAATGTCAAGAACACATTAATTCATTCTAGAAGAAAAAATACGCCAACGCCTTGGCACCCTCTGCTGGTTTCGGGCACTCCTGACCAGTACGCTGTGTATGATCCATGCGTGGTCGTATTGCATCCTT